CTGCAGTGGCTGTAAGTTTACCACTGCACTCCAACCTGGGCGACAAGTGAGACTCCAATTCAAAACAAAAACAAAAAAGACACAAACAGAGAAGACAGCATCTCCTTGCCTACAAAGTACTTTTTCTATCTATCCCTTTGAGCTCTCAACAACCGTATTAAATATGGAAAGTAGGCATCATTATTCCCCCCAATATAGATGAGACCTGGAGGTAGCTCGACCAAAGTTACCCGGCAAGTTAGGCTAGTGCTATGGCTAGCATCCAGCCATCTGTCTCCCAGAGCTGCATTCTCTTCCCTTCAGCAGACCACCCCACAACATCTGTCACCTCTACATCCCCAGCCTTGCCTTTCCTTCATGACAAAAGATTTCCAATATTGAAATTCTGGCTTCAGGACAATCAAGGCTATATAAATGTGGGCCCTAAATTCTCTATTTTTAAACCCTCCAAAGAAAATCCAGAATTGATATTAATCTTAAAAACAGATCTATGCTATCTGATGGGGCAGGGTATGTTGGGAAATAAAACAGAATGCAAGAAAATCAAAAATTTTTGCCCTAATAGTTTCAATAATTTTTTTTAACTTGCTAATTTCATCACAGAGGCAAGGAACTATTTCTCTGCCTCATCAATCTCCTCATTCTGAACAACGAAAATATATACTCACTATGCCAAATTCCATTACAACAGATTACCGTCAGATCCCATGGAGTGTGTCCTAACAGAGGAGTAACTCTGAAGCTACAAAAAGGCTAAAGATTCTTCACATGTATTTACTCATACTTATTTCTAACCAGAAAGGGGAAATTTATAGTAATGATAAAGACATGAATGCAGTCTGTCTTCCCAGAAACTGAGAGGCCTAAAGGACTAACTATAAAATGAACAACTGGCTGGGGACCTATATGAAGATCCGAAAAGCAAGGGAAGATCTTCCTAACAAAAAGTCAGTTGAACCTATCTCAAACCTGCTTCACTTTGTCTTCATGCTATTTTTGCCTTTCAAGATCTATTCTCCCTTTAGAGACCCCAATTTTTTTTTTTGAGTTGGAGTCTCACTCTGTCGCCCAGACTGGAGTGCAGTGGCCGCTCCTGGCCACCACAGCCTCGATCTGCTGGGCTCCGGCGATCCTTCCGCCTCAGCCTTCCGAGTAGCCGGAATTACAGGCATGCGCTACCACGCCCGGCTGATTTTTTGATTTATTGTAGAGATGAGGTCTCGCCGCCCAGGCGGGTCTTGAACCCGCGGGCTCAGGTCATCCACTCACCTCAGCCTCCCAAAGGCACGGGATTACAGGCTGAGCCACCGAGCCCGGCTGAGACTCTTTTTCAAATCACAGATATTTGAGATACTAAAACCTTCCTCAGGAGCAGATAACCAGCAGTAACGTTAAGAACCCCTGCTTGAGAGTCCTAATCCTCTCATACTCCAGCATGAACTGACTTTCCCTCATTAAGCAGAATACAGTCTCCACAATCTGGAAGGGAAAAGACAGATATTTTTATTTATTTATTTATTAATTATTTGAGTCAGAGTCTTATTCTGTCACCAGCTAATCTTTTGATTTATTGTAGAGATGAGGTCTCACCAAGTTTCCTAAGCTGGTTTTGAACCCCTGGGCTCAGGCAATCCTCTCACCTCAGCTTACCAAAGTGCTGGGGTTACATACATGAGCCACCGTGCCCAGACAGGTGTGTCTTGTTATGTCTTTGTCTCAGAACTAATGAGAAAGAATGAAATACATAAGGAAGAGACTTTCTTAGAGGAGGCCAAGTCAAGGTTTCATGACCTCTGGGAGAGTAGTCAGTGTAAAGGAGAACTGAGTATTGAGTGATGGTCAAAATGAATAATCTAAAGGGTTCTTCTAACCAAAAAGACTGACTTGGGAATGCTCTACACAGTAAAAGAGTCTACAGGCCAAAGACACCAAGCCTCCAGGAGAGGTTTAAATTTATAATGCAACTGGTTCCAGTCATTCCACATGCAATAGCAATTGGGGCCTGCAACCTAGGGTACCCAGGCAGAAAGAGATGTGGACAGGGAGGCTATGGCAAGGGAAGGCAATGTTAAGAGTTAAAGGTATTGGTTCAGGGACACAGCCTTATGTTAGTCCTGCCTGTCACTGTGTGACACCTAGAATATAGGCTTAGGTGGGGAATTTCTTTTGGAGAGAAAAATTTCACCAACTGCCTTACCCAGAAGCCTCAGGACACACCGGGTTAGGGTAGATCTGGAGGCAGGCAGGAGTGGTCAGTCTCACATATTTCCCTCAGTGGAGCAGCGACACCAATGGGTCATAGGGGAATTATGACTACCTGATACTTAGTATCCTAGGAAAGCCAGCAGGAGGCAGCATGGAAGCAGGGTATAGAGAATCAGAGCAGCACAAGGGAAACAACAGGAAAGCACACCCAGGGCAGGAACCATCAAGGAATGCAGGAAATAGACTAGACACAAAGTAGATTACAGTGGTTCCCCAAATCCCAGATTTTGCCTTCCACTTGCACAGATTTTTCCACTTGCATGTATCACCTGTATTATAAACTTAACAGATCCCTTCAGAAAGACCTCCTCAACCTAAGGAACAAACATCCTCATCCTAAGGAATAAAGTGCTAGTTAAACTTTTCTCTTAATACACATTAGAATAAGACCTAAGAACTTCTATAAAAATGTTTTCCACATTCTGCCTAAAATCACTTAGCACCTCAGAGGTGCAGCTGCCACACTACAGCATATGCTGATAGCCAGGAGTCCTGAGCCTTAAGTTGGTCCCGACTCTACTCTCATCTCTGCATGATCTCTTTAGGAGCCACAGTCACCCATCTGACAGTGAGGGAGAACTAAATGGGCTCTAAAGCTGCCCTACAAGCTGATTGTCAGGGCTGGCAGATTTCTGTGTGGCTCTGGTAAAAGTACCCACCCAAGTGACATATTAGCAGGGTCCCAGTTTCTGCTCTTTTGGGGGTAGCTACAAATGGAGAAAGCATTAAAACATCTGCAAGCAGAGGAAGGAAGGATAGGAAGACAGTTTACAGCAAAAGGAAGAACATCCGATTTTAACCCAAAAAATATGGCATCTCCATTTAGTAGCTGAGTTTAAGATTTTCTATTATAAAATGGGGATAATTGTACCCCTTTTTCCTCAAATTTATATAAATAGTCCTCAACTTTCACTCAACCTGAACTTTCAAAAATTATACACTGACAATTACAACCTTACGTTCTCTTGAAAGCCCCATTCGGAATTGCACACAAGAGCTGGATGACATTTGGGCTCTTTCTACCAGTCAGCAGTTCAGTTTTGGCAACTTTGCTAGCAGAGCTGTATTTGTTAAATTATTTAAGAAATGTACTGCATTACCTGGCTTTTTTAGTGGCAAATTTCCTTTAACTGACACAAACGACAAAAGTACCCAAGTGGCAGTTCTTAAAGCTTGATCCAGTGTTCACTGAACTTAAAGCTGGTCAAACGTGTGCTCAAAATGCAAAGGAAAAGAACAAAAGTGAAAAAAAAATGTAGGAGCCAAGGCTTCACCTTATAACACATAAGTCTAGATAGTCCATATTTACCACACTCAACTTCTGTGTATTTTCAGGAACATATTATGTTCAAAATTCTGCCTATATGTTGTCTCATTCCATAAAAGATTTGAGGTAGCCTAGAGAAAAATACAAATACATAAATCCAGACAAGAGCACATATAAATCAGAAGGCCAAAAGAATAAGATCTGTGCATTTTATTTTTGTAAATGATATCTAAAACATACCTCAATATAAAAAAGCAAAGCTATAAACAACAACAAAACCAGGGGAACAGAAAACGAAAAATACAGATGCTAGGTCTTACAGTTATTAAGTTAAATTGAACTTTCTGTCAGCCAAAGCTAAAAGGGAAGCACGATTACTACCTGACTTTTGTTGCAGAGGCTTTCTGAGCACTTAGATCTGAAAACAATTTCTCTTTAGATGCCTCCAATAAGAGTATCCTTGATAACAACACTATACTACATGTGTTAAGAATTTTCCTAAAACCATCTTTGTGTATATCAAGTCTTCCCTGGATAAATATTTCTGTAGCAGGAGTGGGGTAGGCAGGCAATGTGGTCAAAGGTATATTTTGGATGCGTAAATGAAACAGGGAGAAAGAGCTTGGGTAACCATGTACAGTACAAGTATCAGGGTCAACTGTTCTAACCCTAAGCTCTGGGTATGAGAACTACAGAGGCCTTGATGCTGAGACTTAGGCAAGGGGTGTGGAATTAACTTCCTAGTATGACTAATCCAGTTAAGCTCAAAGTGGCTCTGAGATCAGCCCTTATTCCAAGCCAACTCACAAACAAATGCCTTAGTTACAGGGGGTATTAACTGCAAAATAACAGCCAAGAACATTCCTAGGCATGCCTATTGAGCTCTACATAGCAAAGGCCACTAACTGGGCCCCAGCATTCACATTCTCCTTCAGTTCTTAGTCACAGAATCCCCTGAGTTTTAACTGGGCACATGACTGCCCAGATACGAGGCTCTATGTCCCAGCATCCCTTTCAGCAAAGTGTGGCCACATAAAAGAATATGACAAAAACAAAACAAAAAAACCCACTCTTTTCTCTCTCTCTTTCCCTAGTGAAATGCAGACAGGGAGCTGACAAGTCAGCTTTGGCCTTGCAGGTAAAAGCAACATCCTAAGGGTAGCTGAACAAGACAGAAGGAAATCAAGTTCCTGATGACTTTGTAGAGTTACGTTTGCCCTAGACCATCTGATTACCTCTGTACAATTAGATGAGAGAAAAATAAACGTCTGTCTAGCAGGAGTACTTTTTGTTCTGTTATAGTAGTTTAGTCTGTGGGTTAACATAATTCATAACTGAAGGGAAAGATGTCAGAAGCAGAGTTCAAAGGATGTGGGCAACACCCTAGTTAAGGCAATTCACACATCAGCTCAGCAAACAGGTCAGAAAATGATAACTATCAAACCAGTTGTGCCTCCTACTCCGTCTCTAGTCAAATCCTTTGAGTAAAGGAAGAGGTTTTATTATAGCACAGCCCAAACACAAAACACAGCATGTTTGCAGTTTTGTAGTTGGGGACACAGACTGTTTTTCCCCACCAACACTAGGCAGGGACACCCCATCCTACCTTTTCCCTTAAGCAGGAAAGGTCCAAACGTCTCCATTCTTCATAATTACCATTCTTGAGGACAGGCCAAATCCAATAAGGCATGGGGTAAAGCAACTGTTGGGGGGCTGTGTGTGAGGGTCAGGGAAGGGAAGTCCAGATCCCCAGACCAAAAGCCGCAGCTGGGAACCAAAGAGAGAGAGTAGCCTGTGTCTGCCCTGGGTTTCTGGGGTCCAGGGACCTGAGAGTGCACCACCTGCTCTTCCTGTGCAGCACACCTGGTGATAACTCAGCTGGCAGCTGCTGGTCCCTAACGAATCCCAGCCACTGGCACCTGCTGCTGTTTGCGGATCTTGTTGAAGAGTTCCATGTACTGGACCATGGTATCTGCTGGGCTGTAGACTGCATCATGTCTGTTCCCAAATACTGTAGGAGCCCCTGGTGTGTGGCTGCCTAGAAAACTCTGTAGAAATTCAAGCAGCAGACTCCAGCAGTCACTAGCTACCACACAGGGGCCATACTCCACCTGAGGATCAAAGGAACAGAGGATGAGGGTGAGTGTGGGCAAGGACAAGGTCTGCTTCTTTTGCACCTCCTGCTCCTATCTTCCCCAACCCTGAGCCAAGGACACAGTGCTGGTCCACAGAAAACATTCAAGCCAAACACAGAGACTCAACACATGCAGCAACATTCCCATTAGGCGTCTCTGACATTCTCATCCTGGAGTTATGCCAATTCACAGTCCTCCCCATAAGACCCAAAGGCAGATATAGGCCTATTTTGATTATCTCAGGATGATGTTGTCCCTGATATGCTTGGTGAAGACTCAAGGACAGCTCAGGAAAATTCCAAGAGACACAGAGAGAAAGAAAGTGGCAGTGGTTACAGTAGAGTAGACACCTACGCTCATGTGTCTCTTCAAGACCAAGCATTACTTCCAAGGTAGACCAGCCTGGGCTCTGATCCTATGAAAGAACTTCCCTACCAATCTGGCATGGGTCAAAACATTTACAGCTTAGGTGTTCTCATTCCTCTCTTCTAATTTTTCACTGGAGAGATGGCAAGAGGGAATTACTGGTAACTGTAAGAGAAATAATGAAATGCTGGGGTGCGTTTATACTACAAGTTGGAAATGTGGAAGATAAACAGTGGGTCCCCAGTGAGTCTAAGTAAGTGCAAGGAATATCACAAGCTGAAAAGGTTTATGAAATCTTGACCCTCGAGGTTGCTGAGCAGAAACTACCACTGGAATGCTAGGAAGCCTCACCTATCCCCATGACTCTAAGTTTTAAGTTCCTACTTAAATAAATCCTCCAGGAAGTAACACAACCAAAATTAGCAGTGCTCTAACATGAATTCCTAGAGCAAACTTCTTTTTTTATAGCATTTCTTAGACTAATTTCAAAAATAGTTTGTGTGTTTCGGCCCTGCTCTTGTACTACAATCATAAACTTTCAAAAGCCAGGCTCCGAAGGCTTTGTTTTTTTGTTTTTGTTTTTTTGAGTTGGAGTCTCACTTTGTCGTTCAGACTGGAGTGCAGTGGCACACTCCCGGCCACCACAGCCTCGACCTGCTGGGCTCCGGCAATCCTTCCGCCTCAGCCTTCCAAGTAGCTGGAACTACAGGTGTGCGCTACCACGCCCAGCTAATTTTTTTTTTTTTTTTTGGATTTATTGTAGAGATGAGGTCTCACCCAGGCAGGTCTCAAACCCGCAGGCTCAGGCAATCCACTCACCTCAGCCTCCCAAAACGCGGGATTACAGGCTGAGCCACAGAGCCCGGCTGGCTTTGTTTTTTTTAATCTCTGTGCTGCACACATTGTAGCTTGTGGACTTCTCTGGTCCCAAAGCCAGCTACTACCATACTCCCTCTTTGCCATACACACACAAACACACACATATATGTTTATGATCACAAACAAGGTCATCTCACATACAACAACCCCCTTTCTACCATGAAAACGAGCAGACAGCATGTCAAAAGGAAAGGCACAGTTTTGCTCCCCAACTTTTGAGATCTATCTTAGAGCATACTAAGGACAGGTGTAGCCGGGCTTGGTGGCTCAGCCTGTAATCCCGCACTTTGGGAGGCTGAGGTGAGTGGATTGCCAGAGCCCATGGATTCGAGACCCGCCTGGGCAGGCGAGACCTCATCTCTACAATAAATCAGTCGGGCGTGGTGGCGCATGCCTGTAATTCCGACTACTTGAAAGGCTGAGGCGGAAGGATCGCTGGGAACGGCCACTGCACTCCAGTCTGGGCGACAGAGTGAGACTCCAACTCAAGGAAAAAAAAAAGGACAGGTGTATGAACACGTATGATTTAGGGCTCACCTCGCAAAGGTTGTCCCAAAAGTTATCCTGGTCTGCTCCAATCCTTCTTGTGATGAGTGACTGGCTTCCACATCATAACTCAGCTGCCTTCCTTGACTGTCCTTTCCCGTCTCCAGCAAGCCAACCTTCCTGAGCTTTCTATGTGCTGGGAACCCAGCTTCCCACTTCCCACCCTGAGCTAGTGATTCTCTGAATGATTGAGGGCTGGGCACAGTGGCTCACACTTGCAATTCCAGCATTTTGGGAGGCTGAGGCGAGAGAATCACGTATGCCCAGAAGTTCGAGGCTGCAGTAAACTATGACTGTGCCAATGCACTCTAGTCAGGGCAAAAGTGAAACTTTGTCTCAAAAAAAAAAAAAGATTCATGGAAGCACAGATGCTCTGAGATCAGGGATCAGGTAGGTATAAATAAATGTTCAAATTGAGAAGGACTGGGAAATCTTCAGGGCCCTTTGCTAACAGCCCCATCAGCATATCTGCTCCTATTTTCCTATTTCACCAAGGTCTTACCTCCACAGAGATGCCCCGGGCACTGGGCCCCATTGTGACTGTGCCCACCTTCACCAGGAAGTCACAGTACTGGTAACGGGTGCCTCGGGTCTCAATCTTGCTGGCCTTAGCACTCTGGAAAAAGCCCTTGAGCTTTACCATGAGCACATCAAAGTTGGTGTCAGCAATAAGACAAGGGCCATTCTCAAAGAGGGCGAAACAGCTCAATGGGTACTCTGAGTTGTGCATCACATACATCAGCTTCCCAGTCTGACCTGAAAGGGACAGAGAGCCTACTCATCATCAAGACTTTCACTGGAAAAACCAGAATAGAGTAAAATGCATGGAACAAGGTCAGATGGAACTCTGGCACCACCTCAGCAGTGTTGGTGGCAGGTGAGGGAAACCCCTAACTGACAGTCTTTTCCAGGGAGGTAGGGAGAGGAACAGCAGGCAGGGCAACATGTGGTGAAATCTACTATATAGAAAAAGCTGGCCAGGCACACACACTTTGGGAGGCAGAGGTGAGAAAACTGCCAGAACCCAAGGGTTGGAGACCTGCCTGGGCAACTTGGCAAGACCCTGTCTCTACAATAAATCAAAAAAATAAGCCAGGCATGGTGGCACACACCTGTAGTTCCAGCTACTTAGAAGGCTGAGATGGAAGGATTTCCTGAGCCCAGAAGGTTGAGGCTGCGGTGGCCATGAGTGTGCCACGGCACTCCAGCCTGGGCAACAGAGCAAGACTCTGATTCAAAAAATAAAAACAAAAAAGAAAAGAGAAAGCTGAGGGAAACACTGTATGTTCTCATTTACAAGTGGGAGCTAAACTAAGGCTATATAAAGGCATAAGAACTATAATGGAGCCGGGCTCGGTGGCTCAGCCTGTAATCCCACGCCTTTGGGAGGCTGAGGTGAGTGGACTGTCTGAGCCCGTGGGTTCGAGACCCGCCTAGGCAACTTGGCGAGACCTTATCTCTACAATAAAATCAAAAAAAAAAATCAGCCAGGTGTGGTAGTACATGCCTGTAATTCCGGCTACTTGGAAGGCTGAGGCGGAAGGATCGCCAAAGCCCACCAGGTCGAGGCTGCGGTGGCCGGCAGTGGCCACTGCACTCCAGTCTAGGCAACAGAGTGAGACTCCAACTCAAAAAACAAACAAAAAGACAAAACAAAACAAAAACTATAATGGACACTGGAGACTCAAGAGGGGGAGAGGGATGAGGGATAAGGGATGGAGGGATAAAAAATCAGCTATCAGGTATAATGTACACAGGTGGGATGGTGGATACACTTAAAGCCCAGACTCCTTCACCACTAGACAATGCAGTCATGTAACCAAAAACTCTGTGCCTCATAAAGCTACTGAAACAAAAAATAAAAATAAAGAAAAAGGTGAGGGGTACACAGGGAATTTTGATGGCATAGATCTTAATTCTTAATTCTTTTTTTTTTTTGAGTTGGAGTCTCAGTCTGTCACCCAGGCTGGAGTACAAAGGCACGCTCATGGCCACTGTAGCCTTCACCTGCTAGGCTAGGTGATCCTTCCGCCTCAGCCTTCTAAGTCGCTGGAACTACAGGCACGTACTACCACGTCCGGCTAATTGTTTGATTTAATGTAAAGATGAGGTCTCACCAAGTTGCCCAGGCTCGGCTTGAACCCGCAGGCTCAGGCAATCCACTCACCTCAGCCTCCCAAAGCGCTGGGATTACAGGCTGAGCCACTGAGCCCGGTTCAGCCTAATTCTTTTTTTTTTTTTTTTTTTAGTTGGAGTCTCAGTCTGTCACCCAGACTAGAGTGCAGTGGCCGCTCCTGGTCACTGCAGCCTCGACCTGCTAGGCTCCCGCGATCCTTCCCCCTTAGCCTTCCAGTAGCTGGAACTACAGATGCGCGCTACCACGCCCGGCTAGTTTTTTTTTTTTTATTGTAGAGAGGAGGTCTCACCAAGTTGCCCAGGCGGGTCTCGAACCCGTGGGCTCAGGCAATCCACTCACCTCGGTGTCCCAAAGCGCGGGATTACAGGCTGAGCCACCGAGCCCAGCTCAGCCTAATTCTTATTTAAGTTGAGTGGTGGGCTCACAAATAGATGTTTCATTATGATGATGAATAACTCATGCCCAGGAATTCGAGACAGACTTTACATATCATCTTTTGTATAATTATCAAAAATTACATAAGTAAAATAAAAGTAGTAGCATTCAGGCAAGTTAAGTGAAGCAGCTGCTCCCTTCTATGTTCATTCCTACCTATCTTGGCCTCCTCCCTCTTACGATCTAGTAAATGGTCCTACAGAGGTAGCAGAAATGAGTGGCTCAGCACGAAGCTAGAAAGGGAGGCCAGAGCCAAGCTGTGATAAGTTTTATCTACTATGCCTTGAGAAATTTAGACTTCATCCAAGGCAATAGTGGCCCTGGAGAACTGTGAGAAGTCTAGTTGACTGGAAAGCAAGCAGCACACTACAGCAAAGAAAACTCAGGAATTGGGATCAGAAGATCTAATTTAAAGTCCCGGGTCACTCCTTCCAGTCTCTGGGAAATGAGTTTTCTCATTGATTTCTATAATCTATCTGCAAAAAGGAAGAAAAGCTATACATATAGCTAATTAGGAAAAAGAAAAAGTAGAAAGCAAGATCCTTTTTCATATACTACAAGAGTTAATGGAGTCAGGTATGGTGATTCATGTCTGTAATCCCAGCACTTTGGAAGGCAGAGGCAGGAGAATTGCATGAGTCCAGGGGTTCAAGACCAGCCTGGGCAACTTGGTGAGACCTCGTCTCTACAATAAGTCAAAAAATTAGCCAGCCATGGTGGTGTGCACCTGCAGTTCCAGCTACTTGGAAGGCTGAGATAGAAGGATTGCCTGAGCCCTGCAGGTGGAGGCTGCAGTGGCTGTGAGCATGCCACTGTACTTCAGCCTGGGCGACAGAATGAGACTCCTACTCAAAAAAAAAAAAAAAAGAAAAAAGACCTAATGGTTAGAATGTCACAATTCTAAATATATTATGTACTTAAACTATCCTCAAAGCTGTGCTTGGCATTTTAAAAGACTCACAAGTATTAGGGAGGTGGAGGCGAGAGGATTGCCTGAGCTCATGGGTTTGAGACCAGTCTGTACACCTTGGTGACACCTCGTCTCTACAATAAATCAAAAATTAGCTGGCTGTGGTGTCCCATACCCATAGTCCCAGGTACTCAGGAGGCTGAAGCAGAACAGTCACCTGAGCCCAGCAGATCAAGGCTGCAGTGGCTGTGAGCATGCCAATACACTCTAGCCTGGGCAACAGAGTGAGACTCCAACTTAAGAACAAAAAACAAAAGACAGACAAGTAGAGGAGTTAGCCCCTGACTTCAGCAAGCCGATAATTTCACAAGACAGGCTAAAAACTTTTTTAAAGAAAATCAAAAGACCACAAAATAAAAGTAATTACCTAGGAAAGACCAAAAGTCTTGTGGAAGGAAGGAAAAGCATTAGGATAAGAAGCAATCAAAGTGAGCAAGAGTCAGCAGGAAAAGCTTTCACGGAAAAAACAGAAATTAAACCAAGACATGAAAGAGGTTAGGATTCAGCTACACAGAGAAGGAAAGATGACATTCTAGGCAGGAAGAAGATTGTAACAATGGAAAGGGTGAGGAGATGGTAGGGGGTGAGGGGAGACAAGGGGCATGTGGCTTTCCTATACAAGCCTCCACTCTGCTACTTTATGAACATAGCAGGCTCTATACAAAATTTCCAGCCCATATCCCTCCTGACTGCTTGCTGCCAATTCACACCTTTCACCTCCTTTTAAATCCAGTTCAAAACACCTCACCCTCAAAGAAAAAAGCCATCCAAAGCTGATCTCATTATTCTGTTCTCATATTATCACTGTAATTATATACCTAAGTCATACTATGAGTCTGCAAGTGTTAAGATATTTAAGAAATATCTTAAAAGTTAACTAAGTTTTTTTTTTTAAATGAGTCACTTCCAGTCGATATAGACAATAGTTTTTATTACAACAAAATTCCTTCATATATGTACAAACTTGCGAACAAGCCGGACCAGTGTTATCGTCCCCCTTCTAAAGATGAGGAAAATGAAACTAACAAGGTTGCAGAGCATCAGCAGCACCATCTAGGAACTTGTTTTTTTTTTTTTGAGTTGGAATCTCACTCTGTCGCCCAGACTGGAGTGCAGTGGCCGCTCCCGGCCACCGCAGCCTCGCCTGCTGGGCTCCTGCGATCCTTCTGCCTCAGCCTTCCGAGTAGCCTTGTAACAAAATTCTCATCCACCATCCTGCAACCCCAAACCACTGAGTCAGAAACGCTGGAGGCTCTCAATTTGTTAACAAGCCTTCCAGATGATGTTAATGCTGGTCTAGTGTGGGATAACTGACCTAAAGGCACAGAGCCGATAAGCAGCAGAACTGAAACTCCGATCTGGGACTGCTGACCCCAAGTTTATTGCTTTCTCCATTCTACCCCACTGCTTGCCACAAATGTATTCTGTCTCCCGAACTAGACTGCAGCATTGTGAAAGGGCCTTATCAGTCTGTGCAAGGTAGTTTCACTCGAAGTGGTATGCCATCTATATACACATCAAAATGTTTTATTATTCAAATGCTTCAATAACCATTATTTCGATTCTTACATCCTTCCCATTGAAGACAAAACAAATAGTAACACTACAATTTTATCAATAATGATAAAAGAGCTCAGTATAGCTCTTAGCTACCATTTATTAAAAATTGCATGACAATCACAGTTCTAAATGCTTTGCATGTATAACTTGTTTAATTAACACGACACTAGGAGGTAAGTACTATGATGACCTTCATTTTACAGATGAAAGAAATGTACTGGGAAGAGTCCAAAAGCAGAGCCCATGCCAGACAGTTTTGATACAAGAAATTTGATACAGGGAACAAATACAAGAGTTGGAAGAAGAGAAAAACTAAGCAGGATGGTAAGGCAACCCATAGATTAGCAACACAGGAAGCCACTACCATCCCTAGTCACGGAGGGAAAAAGAAAATATGTGATACTATCAGAGGCAGGAAACGAGAACTGCCTAGCAGAAGCTAGAACCAAGGAGGAGGCACAGCCGTGGCTAGAGACACGTGGCCAGAAGAGAGAAAGAGGAATACTGCGGTCTCCCTTTCTCCCGTCCTCTCAACTTCTCCAGTGCCTCTCATTGGCCAAAGGTAGCTAGAAGAGGATCTGGAAAATACAGTTTGCAGGAGAAGCACAGGAAATGGATCTATGGGAAACAGGCACAGACGGGTGGTGGGACTTTCATACAGTTGCAGAGAGCTCAGGAGTCTGGCTCCCCATCATAACCACTGTGATATGCAACTATCCAAAGTCAACTTCCTGCAGAACCAAGACTAAGAGAACCAGGTTCTCTAACTTTATTCAAAGATCCTCTCTTCCTTTCTACCACCACTATCCACACCCTATCTCATCATTCAATACATGAAAAGTTGATTCACTGACCAAGGTTATGCTAATGAGGAGGCCAAGGTCACTGGTCAAGTGTGGGAAAAAGAAAGCCTTTATGTAGAAAGTTCTAGAAATCTAAAGCTCTAAAATAATCATATTAAAGACTTCTGGGCCTAAAACAAGCCTTTCTTAAACTTCAGAGTGCATAAAAGAATCACCTGGGAAACTTGTTAAAATGTAGATTATGAGATCTGTAACAGCAGCCAATTGATAAACAGGACCAGAAATCTGCAACTTCACAGGTATACAGGTGATTTTGACACAGTCAGTGACCAACACTCTGAGAAACACTGCTTTTTTTAGTTCAAACTTCACAAAACAAAAAAAACACACAAAAGATCAGAAAGGGATATTTGGAGGCAATGGGTATGTCCAGTCCTTGGCTGTGGTGATAGTATCACAGGTGTATGCATATGTCTAAGTTATAAAGATGCAGGCATTAAATGTGTGTAATTGTTTGTATATAAACTATACCTCAAAAAACCTTAAAAAGGCTCCACTCTCAAGCTTGGACAATTTTGCAAGACCTCATCTCTACAATAAATCAAAAAATTAGCTGGGCATGGAGACACATGCCTGTAGTTCCAACTACTTGTTGCCTGAACCCAGCAGGTCAAGGCTGTGGTGGCCATGAGTGTGCCACTGCACTCCAGTCTGGGCAACACAGTGAGACTTCAACTCAAAAAAAAAAAAAAAAAAAAAAAAGTTCCACTCTAGTCAGGAGCAATGGTACATGCCTGTAATCCCAGCACTTTGGGAGGCAGAGGCAAGAGAACTGCCTAAGCCTGAGGGTTTGAGACTGGTCTGGACAACCTGGTAAGACCTCGTCTCTACAATAAATACACAAGAAATTAGCCAGGCAAGGAGGTACACGCCTGTAATTTCAGCTACTTGGAAGGCTAGGGCACAAGGATCACCTGAGCCCAGCAGGTCGAGGCCGCTCTCCAGCTTGGGCAACAGTGTGAGACTCTGACTCCAAAAAAAAAAAAAGGTCACACTCTAATAGATGAAGAACCAAGATATGAATTTGGAAACACATCTTGCCACCTATTCAGGAATAGCTCTCTCAGCAGAAAAGTAGAGAGACTTCAACAAACATGAAATATCTCTTAACTTTGAGTCAGGTTCCAGTCATCCTAAAAACCCATATCACTGACCTTGGCTGCCAAGAGTAGAGGCAGCTGTGTGGTAAGTTTCACAGTCCACACAAAATGTCCCTTGCTTCTCTGCCCCAAGCATCTCCAACTTCCGGGTGAGAAGCTCCACAGTCTGCTGGATACTCTTGCCCTCAGCAACAGGCATCTGGGACACACTGGAAAGGAGAGCACCAAGTCATCAGTATCCAGACTCACGCACTTGCCCATAGCATCACAGCTCTTCAGAACCAGAAGTTATCTTAGAAACACCTACTCTGGCCCACCTTTTAAAGAAAGACAAGGAGGCCAGGCGCAGTGGCTCAAGCCTGTAATCCCAGTACTTTGGGAGGCCGAGGTGAGGTGATTGCCTGAGACCACAGGTTCAAGACCAGCCTGGGCAACTTGGTGAGACTTCGTCTCTACAACAAATGAAACAATTAGCTGGGTGTGGTAGCGTGTGCCTGTAGTTCCAGCTACTTGGAAGGCTAAGGCGGAAGAATCGATGCTGGGGTGGCCGTGAGTGTGCCACTGCACTCCAGCCCATAAAACAGAGTGAGACTCCAACTCAAAACAAACAAACAAATAAATAAAGACATGGACATAGAAGTTCACAGTCCCTGAAAGCCCCTCCTAAGAACTAGAGCACAGGTCTCAGGATTCTCACACCAGAGAAATGAACTTCCAGGCTGGGCACACACAGTGTGACTCACACCTGTAATCCTAGCACTTTGGGAGGCTGAGGTGAGAGGACTGTTTGAGTCCAGGGGTTCAAAACCAGCCTGGGCAACTTGGCGAGACCTCCTTTCTACAATAAATCAAAAAATTAGCTGTGTGTGGTGATGTGCACTTGTGGTTCCAGCTACTTGGAAGGCTGAGTATCACCTGAGCCCAGCCTGTCAAGACTGCGGTGGCCATGAGTATGCCACTACACTCCAGCCTGGGCAACAAGAGACTTTAACTCAAAAAAAAAAAAAAAAAAAAAATGAACTTCCTGTCACACCAGCATTTCCCTGTGGCATGTATGCCAACATTTGTGTGAAAATGCTAGATGGGCTGGGTCAGTGGCTCAAGCCTGTAAACCCAGCACTTTGGGAGGCTGAGGCAAGTGGATTGCCTGAGTCCAAGGGTTCGAGACCACCCTGGGCAACATGGTGAGACAATATATATGGTCTCTACAATATATCAAAAAAATTAGCTGGGCATGGTAGCGCGTACCTATAGTTCTAGCTACTTGGAAGGCAGAGGCAGAAGGTCGAGCAGCAGGTCGAGGCTGTAGTGGCCGTGAGCGTGCCACTGCTCTCCAGCCTAGGCGACAGAGTGAGGAGACTCCAACTCAAAAAAAAAAAACAAAAAAAAAACCAGGCTCGGTGGCTCAGCCTGTAATCCCAGCGCTTTGGGAGGCTGAGGTGAGTGGATGGATTGCCAGAGCCTGTGCGTTCAAGACCCGCCTGGGCAACTTGGCGAGACCTCATTTCTACAATAAAATAAAAAATAAAAAAATTATCCAGGCATGGTAGCGCACGCCTGTAGTTCCAGCTACTTGGAAGGTGGAGGCGGAAGGATCGCTGGAGCCCAGCAGGTCGAGGCTGCGGTGGCCGGCAGCATGTCACTGCACTCCAGTCTGGGTGACAGAGTGAGACTCCAACTCAAAAAAAAAAAAAAAAGAAAGAAAGAAAAAGAAACTGCTAGGTGGCACACAGATTGAACATTCAATAATACAGAGTCATATATTGAGAAAGGGATTCCTTTCACAATTCTTCCTGTTCTGACTCTACTGGGGAAAAACTCAGTTTGGGGTATTTTTTTATCAACTTTTTAAACTTGGATTGCTCTTTTTTTTTTTTGAGTTGGAGTCTCACTCTGTTGCCCAGACTGGAGAGCAGTGGCACGCTCCCAGCCCCCGCAGCCTTAACCTGCTGGGCTCCGGCGATCCTCCTGCCTCAGGTTTCCAAGTAGCTGGAACTACAGGCGTGCGCTACCACACCCAGCTAATTTTTTATTTATTGTCGAGATGAGGTCTCACCAAGTTGCCCAGGTGGGTCTCAAACCAGTGGGCTCAGGTAATCCACTTGACTCGGCCTCCTAAAGTGCTGCGATTACAGGCTGAGCCACTGAGCCCAGTCTGAGCTGTTCTATACAGTAACCAGGAGTCAAATGTGCCTGGGGGGCTAGTGTACTGTACAGTGCTGATGTAGCATATGTCCATCATTGCACAAAGTTCTAGTCAATGGCCTTAAGAACAATGAGAAGGCAGGCCTCAAGTTTATAATATTTGGGAGTGAGAAGCAACAGTATAATAATTATATCAAAACAATAAAAGGTTACTTTCAAGGTTTCCTCTCATGGTGAGTGAAACTGGCTTCACCTTTAAAGTGCTAGGTAACAACTGCCAAGCACTAACTAATGTCAGACAGTGTCCTAAGACCCTTAGATGAATTGACTCTTCAAATCCTCACAACAGTTCTGTGAAGGTGCTGTTATTTAACAATGTTATAAAAGTGGAAACTGGCCAGGCGTGGTGGCTCAAGCCTGTAATACTAGCCCTTTCGGAAGCCAAGCTAGGAGGAAGGCTTGAGCCCAGAAATTAGAGACCAACCTGGGCAACACAGCAAGATCTTGTCTCTACAAAAAATTTAAAAATTAGCTGGGTGTGGTAGGGCATGCCTATATTCAGAAGGCTGAGACAGGAAGATCACTTGAGCCCAGGAGTTCAAGACTGCAGTGAGCTATGATCACACCACGGCACTCCAGTCTAAGAGACAGAGCAAGACCCCATTTAAAAAAAAAAAAAGAGGAGCGGAAACTGAAGTACAGTATAGAGAAGTAAGATAAATAAACTGTACTAGGTCATATGGTTAATGAGTAGTATACCCAAGAATCAAAGTCTCAAACCTGACTTCATATCCACGTTCTTAAACACTATACTAGACTGTCTCTCTAGGGGTGTTGCTGTCAGTTAAAATATTAAGCAAAAGAGATCTTTTTTTTAAAAAAAAGTAGTAAACAGCCCAGGCACAGTGGTTCACAACTGAAATTCCAGCACTTTGGGAGGCAGAGGCAAGAGGAGTGCCTGAGCTCAGGGGTATGAGACCAGCCTGCGCAACATGGCGAGAACTTGCCTCGACAGTAAAACAGAAAAATTAGCCGGGCGTGGTGGCACATGCCTGTGGTTCCAGCTACTTGGAAGGCTGAGGCAAAGGATCAACTGAGCAAGTCAAGGCTGCAGTGGCTGTGAGTGTGAGGCTGTACACTACCCTGGGCGAGAGTGAGTCTCTGACTCAAAGAAAAAAAAGTTAGTAAATAATAGTAGAGGCAGTACTTAGCTATATAAAAATCAAGAACACAGTCATAGGTGACTGAATTTTGGGAGACAGTGCATTACTTTATGATTAACTAAATAATCTATTTTTTTTTTTTGAGTTGGAGTCTCACTCTGTCACCCAGACTGGAGTGCAGTGACATGCTGCCGGCCACCGCAGCCTCGACCTGCTGGGCTCCAGCGATCCTTCTGCCTCAGCCTTCCAAGTAGCTGGAACTACAGGTGCGCGCTACCACGCCCGGCTAATTTGATTTATTGTAGAGATGAGGTCTCGCCAAGTTGCCGGGGCGGGTCTCAAACCCACAGGCTCAGGCAATCCACTCACCTCAGCCTCCCAAAGGCGCGGGATTACAGGCTGATCCACCGAGCCCGGCTTAAATAATCTATTAATAATCCTACTGTTGCTAGAGTACTGTCACTACTCTGTATCAGAAAAAGCACTGATAAGTAATGCTGATGATGTGCCCTATTTTGAAATAGGACTGGACTGATGCTATGAGGGACAGAGGCCTAGGATTCAGGAAAAGTTTATAGGAGTGCCGACAGACAGATAGCCCTTTCCCTTGGGCTGCCTTCTCCACTCAAAGAGCAGAGGCTTCCAGGTTTCCAAGCGTCTGCACTACAACCTTTCCATTTCCATCCCTCACATATTCCCCTTACCCTAGAGGACACAAAAGAGGATCATGAGGTCAACAGTGGGAAACAAGAGTACTACTGGACAGGGTGGCTCACAACTGTAATCCCAGCACTCTGGGAAGCCAAGGCAAGAGGACTGCTTGAGCCCAGGAGTTCAAGACCAGCTTGGGCAACACAGTGAGGCCTCACTTCTACAAAAAAAGAGTACAACTCTGAGAAACCTGCAAAAGCCTGGGCTACCACAGGAAAAGTATTTCCTCCACACAGACTTTTACATGAGAAGCCTATAGTCATTAACTTCAGATATCCAGGTGTCCAGGCTTCTCTAACAGGATAGATGGTTACACCTACTGAGATAAAAAGAAGAAAAAGATTTTGAGACCTAGCACCTTGGAACTAAAACCTCCAATATAGTATTGGTCCCATACCTTTCCCCACCACCTCACCTTCTTCTAACTGGGATTTTTAGAGTGCTAAAAAAAAAAAGTATCAGCCGGGCTCGGTGGCTCAGCCTGTAATCCCGCGCCTTTGGGAGACTGAGGTGAGTGGAATGCCCGAGCCCATGGGTTCGATACCCGCCTGGGCAGGCAAGACCTTATCTCTACAATAAAATCCAAAAAAAAATTAGCCGGGCGTGGTAGCGCGCGCCTGTAATTCCGGCTACTCGGAAGGCTGAGGTGGAAGGATCGCCAGAGCCCAGCAGGTCGAGGCTGCAGTGGCCGAGAGCGGCCACTGCACTCCAGTCTGGGCGACAGAGTGAGACTCCAACTCAAAAAAAAAAAAAAGTATCTCGAAACTAGACCAATCACCTAATTAAACATAGTAGGAAAGAGGTCCTGAAGAAATAAAGTGTCTAGAATCAGGATCTCCTAATTCCCAAAATGCTTCTTTTCCTCTAGACCCCAGACCTTACAATAGGCAAATCAGAACCAATCAGAGGTTGGTCTAACTGCATTTGGCGGCTGAGGGAGGGGCAGGCGAAAATGTAAAAATCCCATCTTTTCGTTGCCTATCCTTCAACCCCTTCAGCCCTGTCTGCAGATGGGTCCTGGTCTGGAGATCCTATTTCCGACACTGATGTACCAACTCGGCAGTACTACGGCCTCACGGGAAGGAAGATGCCAAGAAGGGCAGGAGGTACACAACCATTGCCATATATCCGGAATAAAACCTTTGCCCTGCCGCCTTCCAGGAGGAAGGGGAGCATCTCCGAGGTAACAGGCCTGGAGAACCCGAGGCGCTCACTGGGTCTTTTCCTCCACACAACGCGATGACATCTCGTTCAGCTCCCGAGGGACGGCGAACCTTGGTCGGGGTCCTCCTCCCGGAGGCACTCCGGACCCGAGGGCCCTTCACCACCCAAAGCTCCACCACACAAAATCCCCTGCAGTCCTACCAAGTCACTCCCATGGCGTCAGACCAGGAGGAGGCAGGATCAAAGAGTCAAATCGCAGGACTCTCCGTCTGCCCACATCAAGCGGAGCCCCAAACGCAGGTGTCAGTCGCCGGAGGGATTCCGGAAATACGTAAAAACTGAGCGCCGGTCGCGCGTCCGCAGGGAACAGGGGCGTGTCTGGGCGCCCTTCGGTGACGCCACAAGTGACTTCACTCGCTCAATTCCCGCCCCCAGGCTTGCAGCTCTGGAAATTCCCATTTGGCTGGGCACCCTAGACCTAGATCCAAGAAGCTAGAAAAGCGAGGCTCAAACCGCCACCACTTAGAGAAGCCAACATTAAAAGCAGTGAATTTCTTCAGGAGTCCAGCTCCGGAGTCCGGGAGCTCTTTTAATGAGTTGGGCCATGCTGGTGGCACTTCTGACCTCCGGGCCCTGGGGGGCGCTGTTATCACCGTGTGGCCTTTTGGCCCTGACAATTCACTGCGCAAGCGCGTTCTGGCATTTTAACCGTACCCACGTGTGAGCCTTCCCAGCAACTTTTTCGAGAGAAAAATGCCTAAATTCAAGGCGGCCCGTGGGGCCGGGGTTCAGGAAAAACATTCGCCCTTGGCTGAACAAATCTTGGCTGGGAATGCGGTGCGGCCAGGGGTCCGGGAAAAGTGGCGGGGTCGCGGAACCGGAGAAGAGGAGGAAGAGTACGTGGGGCCCCGGCTGAGCCGACGGATTCTGCAGCAAGCACGGCAGCAACAGGAGGAGCTCGAGACCGAACATGGGACCGGGGACAGGCCCGCGGCGCCGCGGGCGCGCACCACCCGGCTGGGTGAGTGTCGGGATGGGGTCCGAGGATTACAATGGTTGGTTGGGGGCGGGGTGGACAGCTAAAGGTGTCGAGCACAGGAAGAGTTTGGAATCAACAGACGGGTCAGTATGGTATTTGCAAGGGTAATGGAATGGGAGAGCCAGCCGTAGCCAAAGTTGTCCACGCCCACTCCTAGTTCTAGGCACTCCCTTCTGGGTACCCTCGAAGTTTGGCCAACAGGAAGTGACTACTTGCGCCACTGAACGCTCCTAGCATTTATTCCTTGGTTTTATAAATATTTTGGGGATACCTCCTAGAGCTTTTCACTGTGCACGGAGTTTGATCGATTTGGGTACAGAAAGAGACACAATAGACACGTGTCTGACTTCAGGACCTTACAGTTAAACCCAGAAGAGAGACAGTTTAAGCTGATTATTAGAATATATTCGTTGATAAAGTATCGTTTCCCTGGTAATAATAACATTAGTCTTCGGAGACAGGCTTCCCAGATTGCATGGCCTTTAATCTGAGACCTGAAAACAAATGAGACGTGTTCTGAGCAGGAAAACAAACAAACAAAAACAATATTATTTAACATCTTTATAATAAAATAATAATAGTAATGATAATAAAACAAAAACCAAAAACTATTATTTAGAGGCCAAAGAGGGAAAAACATGACTGAAAGACATTTGATGTTTTCTCACTAGGGAGGGAGTGCTGACCTCTGAGTTTCTTAATCCATTTCTTAGATCTCATCATAAAGCTGTATTTGACACAGTTGAATACTGGCCTCCTGACTACAGTATCTTGGTTTATAAGATATCACATTACTATTTTACCACTTCCTCGCTTCTCAATATCCTTGACTGACTCTTCTCCCAGCCTCTTATCATTGAATCCTCAATTCGCAGACCTTTTCTCTTCAAAGACATTCTTTTCTCTGGCGCCATCGAGTTTCATGGTTTAAATGCCATCTAACCGGGCTTGGTGGCTCAGCCTGTAATCCCGCCTTTGGGAGGCTGAGGTGAGTGGATTGCCTGAGCCCGCGGGTTCGAGACCTGCCTGGGCAACTTGGCAAGACCTCATCTCTACAGTAAATTAAAAAATCAGCCGGGCGTGGTAGTGCATGCCTGTAATTCCAGCTACCTGGAAGGCTGAGGCGGAAGGATCGCCGGAGCCCAGCAGGTCAAGGCTGTGGTGGCCGGGAGCGGCCACTGCACTCCAGTCTGGGTGACGGAGTGAGACTCCAACTCAAAAATAAAATAAAATAAAAAAATAAAAATAAATAAATGCCATCTAATTGGTGACTACTTCCAACCTTATATTCTAGCCCTGATCTCTTCCATGAAGCCCAGATTCTTACAGAATTCGACTGCCTATTTGGTATCTTCAATTTGAAGTCTCATAGACATCTCAAACTTAACATGTTCAGAATAGAAATCCTGACCTCTCCAAACCTGCTCCTCCCACTGCCTTCCCCATCTCATTAGCATGATATCCTTTCATTTGCTCAAGACAGATACTTTAATCTCCTTTCTTTCCCTCTCACTACACATCTAATCTGTCAGAAAATTCTGATGACTCTGCCTTCAGAGTATATCCAAAATCAGACCAATTTTCATCACGTTGGAACACCATCCTGTTCAAGCCACATAGTCTCTCCCCTGAATTATTGCAGTATCCTTCTAGTTAGTATCTGGTGCCCTCTACAGTCCACTGGTCAGCTAGAGGATTATGGTAGTCTACCACACCCAATATGTGATCTGCCCCCACTGCATCTGACCTCTTCTACCACTTTCTCCTGTGCTCTCTACAGTTCATCTACGTTTGTGTATGTCTTTCTCCTCCGTTTAGAATATAAGCTCTATAAGGGCAGACATTTTTGTTTCTCTTGTTCACTGATATACTTCCAGCACCCCTAATAACAGTGCCTAACATGTAATAAGCACTCAGTGTTTGCTGAATGAATGGATTAGTGAATGATGGTAAGGTATGTAGGAGCCAAATCTATAAAAACCTTGGAGTCCATACCCAGGATTTAAAGCCATCTTAACAGCAATGGAAAACTATTGGAGAGTTTTGAGGACAGGACTGGGCAAATCAAACGTGTGTTTCTGGAAGATTACTCCGTCTGCAGAGTAGAAAAATGAGTTGGAGGAAAGCAAGGTCAGAAACATGGAGACCAACTGGCGGATTGTTGAATTTATCCAGGCAAGAGATGACACTGGTCTCGGCTTAGATAGGGTTATGAAAGATTTGAGAGACAGTCCATGAGGTAGAATCAAATAGGATTTGGTGATTGATCAGGTATTGAGGGTGAGGGTTTACCATTGGATGGATGCTGGTGCCGTTTGAACTGTAGACACAGTGAGCAGTGTAGACGTAGGAGGGAAAAAGAAAGTTTAGTTGGCAGGTGAGATTTGCCATGCCTGTGTGTCATCCAAGAGTACAGGAGGCAGGAGGCACCTGGAGTTAGGGCCTGGCACTAAGAAAGGAAAGCCATCTATAAGTACAGATTTGGGAGTTATTGATATATGGAAACAAATTGTCAGATTCCCCCTTATTTAGCTTTTATCACACACTGCTTTTGTTCTCTCTCTTTTTTTTTTTTAAGTCAGAGTCACTCTGTCACTTAGGCTGGAGTACAGTGGCATGCTCACAGCCACCCCAGCATCGACCTGCTAGGCTCAGGTGATCCTTCCACATCAGCCTACCAAGTAGCTGGAACTACAGGCGTGTGCTACCACACCTGGCTAACTTTTTGATATATTGTAGAGACAAGGTCTCACCAAGTTGCCTAGGCTGGTCTCAAACCCCTGAGCTCAGGCAATCCTCTCAGCCTCCCAAAGTGCTGGGATTACAGGCTTGAGTCATTGTGCCTGGCCGTCTTTGTTCTTAATGACCTATTCATATGTAGCATTGTATCTCCTCACTTGGATTACTTTTTTTTTGGTGAGTTGGAATCTCACTTGTCGCCCAGGTTAGAGTGCAGTGGCATGCTCACGGCCATCTCAGCCTTGACCTGCTGGACTCAGGTGATCCTTCCGCCTCAGCCTTCCAAGTACCTGGAATTACAAGCACGCTCCACTTTGTCTGGCTAAATTTTTTTTGTTTATTATTGAGACGAGGTCTCACTAAGTTGCCCAGGCTGATCTCGAACCCATGAGCTCAGGCAATCCTCTCACTTCAGCCTCCCAGAGTACTGGGATTATAGGTATGAGCCACTGCACCCGGCCTCCTACATGGATTACTAGTCCCCGTTCCAGATGCCTGGACAGCTGTAGCCTTCCAAAAATCAGTTATTCAAATAGAATGATAGGATTGAAATCTGAACTCCATTGCCTGGCTTTTAAGGCCCTCAGCCTGGCTTCACCTTTTCTTTCTAGCGCTATGTCTTACTGTTGTCTACGAGACATTTATAAGCAACCCCTTTTTCCAGTGTTGTTACTCCAGTCTGGACTACACTCCTGCTCCCATCATCCAAAGTCTAACTTTTCCTAGCACTCATCTTCCAAGTGCCTGCTTCTAAATGTATATATTGTCTCTTCCACTCATTTGACATATAATTAAGCCATACCATGTGTAGAACAGTGGTGAAGAATGCAGTCTAGACCCAGACTACCTGCCTTAAGCAAATCACCTAACTTTTCTGTGTTCCAGTGTCATCACATGAAACTGGGTCTAATAATAGTACCTACTTTGTCTCAGGCAATCCTCTCAGCCTCCCAAAGTGCTGGGATTACAGGCTTGAGCCATCACGCCTGGCATCCTTTGTTCTTAATGACCTATTCATATGTAGCATTGCATCTCCCCACTTTTGTTAACTATTATTTAATGGCATTGCTTTCGCATTGTTTCCTAAGTATATAATTTTTTTCTCAAGCAAAATTGCACATTCCTGACAACAGGAAGGTAGTAGGTGCCTCATCTGTTTTGCTGTACACATCTGTATCTATTACAAGCACATATGAGGCCTATACTACATACTAGCTAAAGTTAAATTGACTAAATCCCTTACCCACTCCTTGCTGTGCTCATTCGATTTGTCCCCCCTCTTCTAGGTCTGGGAGTGCCACAGGATGGATCAGGTGATGAGGACGAGGAGTGGCCCACCTTGGAGAAGGCTGCCACTATGACAGGGGTGAGCCACCATGAAGAGGTGATCGTGGACCCTGAGGATGAGCGTGCCATTGAGATGTTCATGAACAAGAACCCTCCTGCCAGGTTGGCCTGGGGATTTGGGGTCCTGGTAGAAAGTTCCCACAGGGAAACACCTACCCTAGCAGATGTCTAATTCCCTACTTCTGGAAAAGACCTTGGCATTGCTAGTTTTAAGACCTTGACAACACTGATCTATCCTCAAAGGACCACTGTGAGTGGGAATGACCCAGACTCAGAATACCTCCTCTCCTATCCATTTGTTCTAGAACTGCCTGATTACCAGCTACAGGCCTTTTTCATGTCTCTGAGGAGACCCATCCCAATTTTTTTGATCTTGCAATGCTCCATTTTTTAGTAGTAGGCTGAGCTTCCCCGGACAGATCTCTCTCTCTCTCTTTTTTTTTTTTAATTGGAGTCTCACTCTGTTACCCCGACTGGAGCGCAGTGGCTCGTGCCCGGTCACTGCAGCCTCAACCTGCTGGACTCCTGTGATCCTTCCGCCTCAGCCTTCCAAGTAGCTGGAACTTCAGGTTCACGCTACCACGCACAGCTAATTTTTGATTTATTGTAGAGACGAGGTCTCACCAAGTTGCCTAGATAGATCTCGAAGCTGCAGGCTCAGGCAGTCTACTCACCTCGGCCTCCCAAAGTGCTGGGATTACAGGCTGAGCCACCGAGCCTGGCCAATCGCTTTCATACCCTTCATTTAATCCAGGGTTTTTCAACCTCAGCACTATTGACATTATGGGCTGAAAAGTTATTTTTTGTGAAGGCTGTCCTGTGCAGAGTAGGATGTTTAGCAGATATCACTGATCTCTACTCTCTGGATACCAGTAGTGACCTTCCCTGTAATTATGATAACCAAAAATGATTCCAGGCATTACCAAATGTCCCCTGAGAGACAGAATCACCCCCAGTTAGAGCCATTAATTCCCATTTATAATAAATGCTAACTCTAAAACTTGTAGGCAATTAGGCTGCCTGTGGTCAAATTTCTGAGCTTGGGGATTTGGGCCTTGAGAGGAGTTTAGGATAAGGGCCCTCAACCAATTCATTCTGACTCTGGGATGTTAACTTCATGTTATCCTTGATTCTTCAGGCTGTTGTAGATTTATGCATCTCTCATTGCTAATCATACTATGAAAAGACAGGAATGCTAATAAGTTCTGTGGCAACCTATTTGAGGACACAAAATGAAGAAATAAGCCCCTATCCCAGATTCTTTAGCAACTGAAATAGATGTCACAAAGTATGTATCTGGGCTTTTCCTACCAGAGAGCCTGTCGCGGTCTTACTCAGCACCTCCTAACTCCTACTTAACAGATAATTCTGACAAATACAGCAGAATGGTTTTCCAGCTTGCATTAAATAGAAAACTACTAGAAACAGGAACTCCTAGTAGTCTCAAGAAATGATAACTAGCATCTTCAGAAAACAAGTCTAGGTCCAAGACCTGAGTTTGACTCTTCCCCCCACTTTAACTGTGAGACCTTGAGTGAGTTATTAACTCGAGTCTCCATTCCTGCGCCTACATAAGTAACCCATGTGTCCCATAAGTGTTGCACAGAGGCTGGGTACGGCGCCTCACACCTATAATCCCAGCGCTTTGGGAGCAGAGGCAAGAGGAGAGCCTGAGTCCAGGGGTTCACGACCAGCCTGGGCAACTTGGCGAGAACTCATCGCTACAATAAATTTTAAAAATTAGCCAGCTATGGTGACGTATTCCTATAGTTCCAGCTACTTGGAGGACTGAGGTGGAAGGATTATGAGTCCAGCAGGTCAAGGCTGCGACGGCCCTGAGTGTGCCACTGCACTGTACTTTAGCCTGGGCGGCAGAGTGAGACTCCAACTCAAAAAAAAAAAAAGTAAGCCAGACTCGGTGGCTCAGCTTATAATCCCGCGCTTTGGGAGGCTGAGGTGAGTGGATTGCCTGAGCCCGCGGGTTCGAGACCTACCTGGGCAACTTGGCGAGACCTCATCTCTACAATAAATCAAAAAATTAGCCGGGTGTGGTAGCACGCGCCTGTAGTTCCAGCTACTTGGAAGGCTGAGGCGGAAGGATCACCGGAGTCCAGCAGGTCGAGGCTGCAGTGGCCGTTCCCGGCCACTGCACTCGCAGTCTGGGCGACAGAGTGAGACTCCACTAAAAAAAATAAATAAATAATTTTTTTAAAAGTATATAATCAGACTTAGAAATATTTCCATAGATTTTTGGCTGGGTACAGTGGCTCACATCTGTAATCTCAGCACTTGGGAGGCCAAGAGGGGAGAATTGCTTGAGCCCAAGAGTTTAAGATCAGTCTAGGCAATACAGCAAGTGTCTCTGCAAAAAAATCAGAAAATTAGCCAGACCTGGTGGCACATGCCTATAGTTGCAGCTATTTGGAAGGATCACCTGAGCCCAGCAGGTCGAGGCTGCAGTGGCCGTGAGCATGCCACTGTACTCCAACCTAGGAGACAGTAAGACTCCAACTCAAAAAAAAAAAAAAAAAGGCTGGGCATAGTGGCATACACCTGTAACCCCAACTACTTAAGAGGCTGAGGCTAGGCCAGGTGTGGTGGCTCACGCCTATAATCCCAGCACTTTGGGAGGCCGAGGTGAGAGGATTGTCTGAGCCCACGGTTTAGAGACTAGCCTGGGTAACTTGGTGAGACCTCATCTCTACAAAAATACAAAAAAATTAGTCAGGCATAGTGGCACGTGCCTGTAGTTGCAGCTACTTGAAAGGCTGAGGCAGAAGGATTGCCTGAGCCCAGCAGGTCAAGACTGTGGTGGTCCTGAGTGTACCACTGCACTCCAGCCTGGGCGATTGAGTGAGATTCCAACTAAAAAAATAAAAAGAGGCTAAAGCAAAAGGATCGTTTGAGCCTAGGAGTTTGAGGCTGTGGTAAGTCATGATCATGATCATGCCACTGCACTCTGGTGTGGGAGACAGTGTGACCTCAACTCAAAAAAAAAGGGGGGGGGCGGGCTCAGTGGCTCAGCCTGTAATCCTAGCACTTTGGGAGGCTGAGGTGAGTGGATTGCCTGAGCCCGTGGGTTCGAGACCCACCTGGGCAACTTGGCGAGACCTCATCTCTACTATCAATCAAAAGAATTAGCCGGAGCCGGGCTCGGTGGCTCAGCCTGTAATCCCAGCGCTTTGGGAGGCTGAAGTGAGTGGATTGCCCAAGCCCGCGGGTTCGAGACCCGCCTGGGCAACTTGGCAAGACCTCATCTCCACAATAAATCAAAAATTAGCTGGGCATGTTAGTGTGCACCTGTAGTTCCAGCTACTTGGAAGGCTGAGGCAGAAGGATCACCAGAGCCCAGCAGGTCGAGGCTGCAGTGGCCGAGAGTGTGCCACTGCACTCCAGTCTGGACGACAGAGTGAGACTCCAACTCAAAAAAAAAGAAAAAAAATTAGCCAGGCGTCGTAGCGCACGCCTGTAGTTCCAGCTGCTTAGAAGGCTGAGGCGGAAGGATTGCCGGAGCCCAACAGGTCGAGGCTGCGGTGGCCGGGAGTGGCCATTGCACTCCAGTCTAGGTGACAGAGTAAGACTCCAACTCAAAAAATAAAAAAATAAAAGAAAGAAAATATTTCCATAGATTTTAATTTCAGTAAATTCAAATGGGGGAAAGCTTGTGCCATAGTCTCCTCCTAATGATCCCAGCTACCTGAAATCTTGATAGGTAATCGAGATGTGTCCAGTACTCTAGAGAGGCCAGACCAGGAGTTTGTAATTAGAGAGTTCTTGGCATGTTGCCAGCATTATGATGGGTATTTTTAAAATAGGCAGTATTCATTGTACACTCATTGTGTTCTGATATCATAAGTAACAAATATGTATTAACTTATTTAATACTTTCGAGGTAGGTGCCATTAGCATCCCTGTTTTATAGATGAGGAAACTGAAGCCTAAAATGGTAAAGTATCATGCCTGAGATCATACAGGAAGTGGATGAGCCAGGATTTGCACCTGGGCAGGCTGACTTCAGAGTTCAGGTTCATGGTGGCCCCCATACAACTGCTAGCTTTGTCCTGCATCAACTGACTTTCAGGTCTTTTGCACCCTGCAGCAATTCTGTGGTAGGTGGGTGGGTGCGGAGAAGCTGCCCTGAGGCTGCCCATCCCTGTAGGATCACAGTTGTCAGTGCTCACAAAGGACCATGTGGGGAAGTTTGGAGCTTCCTGGAAGGTGACCACAGCTCTCCTTCCTCTCCCCTTGGCACCTTCTCCCTAGGCGCACCCTGGCTGACATCATCATGGAGAAGCTGACTGAGAAACAGACAGAAGTTGAGACAGTCATGTCAGAGGTGTCGGGCTTCCCTATGCCCCAGCTGGACCCCCGAGTCCTGGAGGTCTACCGGGGGGTCCGGGAGGTAAGAGCTGAGAGGGCAGCCATGGTGGAATACCCTTATATAGGGACTGTGGGCTCCCGCTGCAGGCGTTTTGCCCGTATCTCATACCAGACGAGGCACAACAGCAGTAAACAAACCTAAGAGTCTGAGTATGCAGGTTCAGGTTCTTGTTCTGCCCCTTAGTGATTTGGCAGCCTTGGGTCAGTTACTGGAACTCTCTGGACATCTGTAAAATGAGCATAATAATAGCACATCCTTAAGCCGGGCTCCGTGGCTCAGCCTGTAATCCCGTGCCTTGGGAGGCTGAGGTGAGTGGATTACCTGAGCCTGCGGGTTTGAGACCCACCTGGGCAACTTGGTGAGACCTCATCTCTACAATAAATCAAAAAATTAGCTGGGCATGGTAGCGTGTGCCTGTAATTCCAGCTACTTGGAAGGCTGAGGCGGAAGGATCGCTGGAACCCCAGCAGGTCGAGGCTACAGTGGCCGGGAGTGGCCACTGCACTCCAGTCTGGGCGACAGAGTGAGACTCCAACTCAAAAAAAAATTTTTTTAAATAATAGCACATCCTTATAGGGTTGCTGTGAGAAGGAAATGAGTTCATATGTAAAAGCACCCAGACAAGTACGTGGGGCATGTTGTGTGTTCATGACAATGATGATTTTTACCTCCCTCTTCCCTAGGTGTTATCTAAGTACCGCAGTGGGAAACTGCCCAAGGCATTTAAAATCATTCCCGCACTTTCCAACTGGGAGCAAATCCTCTACGTCACAGAGCCTGAGGCCTGGACTGCAGCTGCCATGTACCAAGCCACCAGGTAGAGTAGATGAGGGTAAGGGCAGCCTTGCCTCTGTAGATGAGGGCTGGGCCTGCTCCTATACAGGCTTTCCCTGCTTTTGCCATTACGTTTGCGCTTTGCCCCAGGGTTCCCTTTTGTGCTTCTTCTTAGCATTTTCCTGGCTTTTGCTGTTTCACATTTTGGGATCATGACCCAGTGGGGATCTTCCTGTGATGAGTTTCTAGGGGAGAGGCTTATAGCTACTAGGATACAACCCAGTCAGAGTGGCCTCAGAAGTCAGTGACTGCCCAGGCATACTCAGGTTTCTGTTGATGGCAGGGTCAAAAAGATCCGTGATGGTCACAGGAAGGCAAGTATCTAAGTAGCCATCAATTTGGAAGAGCTCTGGCTCCCTCAAAGACAAGCAGTCTTTCCCCTGTTGTGGTATGTCTTGTTGCTCCTCCTGTTCTCTCTAAGCTGACCTGAGTGTTGCACACACACACACAGCTCCCATACATCCTGTACTGAGAGAACGGTTCCATGTCCTCCTTTAATATCTGTTTAAAATGTACTATCCTGGCCCGGTGCGGTGGCTCAGCCTGTAATCCCAGCACTTTTGGGAGGCCAAGGCAAGAGGATTGCCTGAGCCCAGGAATTCGAGACTAGCCTGGGCAACTTGGTGAGACCTCGTCTCTACAATAAATCACAAAAACTAGCCAGGTGTGGTGATGTGCATCTGTAGTTCCAGCTACTTGGAAGGCTGAGGCAGAAGGATCGCCTGAGCCCAGCAGTTTGAGGCTGCGGTAGCAGTGAGCATGCCACTGCATTTCAGGCTGGGCAACAAGAGTGAGGCTCCAATGCAAAAAAAATATATAAATAAATAAAATGTACCGTCCACAGTGACAGTAAGTGTCAGCTCTAGATTCTCAGGTGACTTGGGAACTCTCCCCTCACCCCCCACTAGGATTTTTGCCTCTAACCTGAAGGAACGCATGGCCCAGCGCTTCTATAACCTTGTCCTGCTCCCTCGGGTACGAGATGACATCGCTGAATACAAACGACTCAACTTCCACCTCTACATGGCACTGAAGAAGGCCCTTTTCAAGCCCGGAGCCTGGTTCAAAGGTGGGAGCCCAGAGGCAGAGAAGAAAGGAGGGGTTGGAGCTCCCACGGGGAAAGCAACAAGCCTGACTCAGGAAATAAATAGCTGTGTCTCAGGCCACTTTCCAGTGATCGTCCCTGAGGTGGGTGGGAGTGCTTCCTGCTGTAACTCCTTTCTCACCCTGGGCTCACAATGCCTGCCCTTTTACTCTCTCCAGGGATCCTGATCCCGTTGTGCGAGTCAGGTACTTGTACTCTTCGGGAAGCCATCATCATAGGAAGCATCATCACCAAGTGCTCCATCCCTGTGTTGCACTCCAGGTAGTGTTTGTGGGGATGGGAGGAGAGTTGTTCAGAAGTTAGCCAGATAGTGGAACTGCCACAGCTCAAGGATGGGAGCAGAGTAGGAAAAGAGCTTGTGGCTTGTTGAAGCCAATGGATGTATCATTACTACACTGGAACATAAGTTCCACAGGAACAGCATCCCAGTGCCTGGTATGAGGTAGGTGCTCTGTAAGGAGTTGAATGAATGAATAGGGAACAGGAGAAGAAAGCAGGTTAAGGGTGGTGATGCTGAGACACATTGGTTTACTGAGGCGGGCAGTTGAGATGAAGATGTGGGATGGATCCATGTAGGATGGTAACTGGAGTAAAGGGAGTATAGTAAGATGGGGTAAGTGAGGAGGCCTGAGGAAGAGCATAGTAAAAGGACCAGCATAGGAAGGGAAAAGCACAGCAGGAGAAATAGGATCCTTCCTCCAAAATTTCCCCCCCCACCCCCGCTAACTCCACCCCACCTCCCTTTCCTGCCAGTGCGGCCATGCTGAAAATTGCCGAAATGGAATACAGCGGTGCCAACAGCATTTTCCTGCGACTACTGTTGGATAAGAAATACGCACTGCCCTACCGAGTGCTGGATGCACTAGTTTTCCACTTTCTAGGGTTCCGAATGGAGAAGCGTGAACTGCCCGTCCTGTGGCACCAATGCCTCCTGACTCTGGTCCAGCGCTACAAGGCAGACTTGGCAACAGAGCAGAAAGAGGCCCTCCTAGAACTGCTCCGGCTGCAGCCCCACGCACAACTCTCCCCTGAAATTAGGCGTGAGCTTCAGAGCGCAGTCCCCCGAGACGTGGAAGGTGTTCCCATCACCATGGAGTGAGGAAAGCAGCCACCTGTCCTGGTCCAAGTGACATGGGAAGACACCCTGTTGGTGACTAAAGACTTAATGGTTAAAGACCCTGATGTGGGCAGTGACCGGTCACAGGCATCTACAGCTCTCGGTCTAAGACACAGAGGACTGAGGATCTGGCTGGCTCCCTCTTCCGTTCTTGGCCGTTCCTGCTGTTCTGGGACTTGACTTGAGATTCCATACCCCAGCATTCCCACTCCCCAGCTGGGACTTGGTTTTAAGTCCTTTCTCAGGGGCTATTGTGTCAGATCACTGTGGATAAAAGCAAAGGCAGGTATTTATTGAAGCTCTGTATTTGGCATAGTCAATGGAGATCTTTCACTTTTCCCTCTTCAGCTTGAGGTGGGAATATCTCTTCCCTGTTATTGTCTCTGAAGTGGATTTTTGCCCGGTCTACATAGGACCTACCCTTACCACCCGCATTAATCTGTAAGTTTCTTTCTCCAGGGTAGGCTCACTTTGTTATCCCCTCAGGGCACATCTGCCTTCCCTGACTGACACAGGCTGCTTTGGTGGGATACCAGCAACCAGAAGCAGGTTGTCCAAAGATGTTCCTGTCTCAGCTGTGTATGAAAGGACTACAAGAGAAAGCCTTTCCTTGAGGAAAGCGGAGATAAAGAGGCAAGAAATGTCAGTGAATTAGGCTGGGCCTAGGAATGGTTAGATCTGGGCTCAGCACCCAAGTTCCCTTTCAAGCTTTTCAATGAAAGCTTTAGGCTGTTGGTTGGCAAACTAGGGCCAAATGTCTGTTTTGTGTGGCCTACAAGCTAAGAATGACTTTTATTGAAATGATTGGGGAAAAAATTAAAAGGACAATATTTTATGATAGGTGGGAACTACATGAAATTCCAGATTCAGTGTCCATAAGTAAAGCTGTGTGGCTGTTTTCTGTGACTGCCTTTGTGCTACAATAGCAGAATCTGAAATTTTTTTGGAAAATTTTCTTTTGAAAATGAGTATTTAGCTGGGTGTGGTGACTCATGCCTGTAATCCCAGCACTTGGGAGGCTGAGGTGCAAGGATTGCCTGAGCCCACGGGTTCGAGATTCGCCTGGGCAACTTGGCGAGACCTCATCTCTACAATAAATCAAAAATTAGCCGGACGTGGTAGCACGCGCCTGCAGTTCCAGCTACTTGGAAGGCTGAGGCAGAAGGATCGCCGGAGCCCAGCAGGTCGAGGCTGCAGTGGCCATGCACTCCAGCCTAGGAGACAGAGTAAGACTTGACTCAAAAAAAAGAAAATGTACATTTGTTCCAACCCAAATTAATATATTTGGGAACAGTTTGATCTAACACAAATTTCATTTTCGCTTATGTGGTTTCATCCTTGAAAAACACCAGCGAAACCAGGCTCCGTGGTTCAGCCTGTAATCCCGTGCCTTTGGGAGGCTGAGGTGAATGGATTACCTGAGCCCGTGAGTTTGAGACCTGCCTGGGCAACTTGGCAAGACCTTGTCTATACAATAAATCAAAAACTAGCCGGGCATGGTAACGCATGCCTGTAGTTCCAGCTACTTGGAAGGCTGAGGCAGAAGGATCACCGGAGCCCAGCAGGTCGAGGCTGCGGTGGCTGGGAGCAGCCACTGCAACTCCAGTCTGGGTGACAGAGTGAGACTCCAACTCAAAAAAGAAAGAAAAACACCAGCGAATGCAGAAAACTGCACCCAACTGAACTAAGTCAATTTAATACAACACACACTTCACACATGTACCAGCTACTCCCCCCTGCCTGGAGTCACACCCACCCACACCTGGGTTACAGCTCTTCTACCCTTTATAATAAGTAACAAGCTGCGACCCTTCTGACATCTGCAGGCAAACTGCCTGTCTTCAAGATAAAGGGCCATGGTTTTGTTTTTTGGTTGTTTTTTTTGGTCAGAGTCTCTGATGTCCAGGCTGGAGTGTAGTGGCACGCTCATGGCCACCATAGTTTCTACCTGCTGGGCTCAGGTGATCCCCCCGCTTCGGCCTTCCAACAGCTGGAACCGCAGGCACATACTACCACGCCTGGCTGATTTTTTATTTATTGTAGAGACAGTCTTGCTGACTTGCCCAGGCTGGTCTTGAACCCCTGGACTCGGGCAATCCGCTCACCTCTGCCTCCCAAAGTTCCAGGATGACAGGTGTGAGCCACCATCCCCACCTTCATTGTTTTTGAGTGTTGTACCTTAAGTTCCATTTTTCCCATAAGCCCTAGTTTTTGTTGCACAATTTTGCATAGTATGGTGATTTTAGGAGTGCATAGATCACATTATAAAGCAAAACTGACTATATTTGGGACAGAGATCATATAGCCCACAAAGCCTAAATATCCTGCCCTTTGCCAAAAAGGCTTGATCCCTGCTTTAGACCACTGACTTCCACCTCCTTACCTCATAGTCTAGAAATAAACTTTTACCCACAAACTATCCAATCCAAGAAGCCAAAGCCAGTTTTACTCTAGAATTTTTATTAAGGTAGCGTGATGGTCCTGGGCCACCAGCCTAAACCTTGTGGCCTTAGGAAAGACCTGTGTCAACAGGGCTTGCCTCCCTCTCCAGACAGGGGCTTGGCCACCTCCAGAGCATCCGTGCTTCATCCTCCCCTGAGGATGAGGCAGAGGGTCAAAGGGAGAGGAGGGTATGGCCCCACCCCAGGCTGTAGCAGCTCCTCAGCCACAAAGATCCCTTATCTGGTAGCAGAGGGGAGAGAAACAGCAACCACCAGGGTTACCACCATTGTGGGATAGGCCCCACTCCACTCTCTTACGGTTGTACGCACAACAATTAATAAATTAAAAATGAACTTTTCTTTCAGCACTCTGCCAATCACAAAGGAGAAGCTGAGCAGAAAGTAAAGAATTCTTACGTTCGTGTCCCTCTGGCTGAGGCCTAGGCCCCTCTAAGAGCAGCTGTGAGCATGGATCATACAGGGGCCTCCAAAGTGTGCTGAGAGGAGCCATCTAGACTTTCCCCTCACACATCTATCAAACAATCATGCCTAAAATTTCATCTTCAGAAGGACCCCGATCCAAATGCAATAACCCTAGAAGGGGTAACCCCTTTAGAAGGCACTGGGGCATTTTGGCAGTAGAGAACATGAGAGCCCTGGGGGGGCAGGGGCCTTCAAAAGGAATGTTGGTGCATGTATTTTTACCTGTCCCAATTTTGTCTGACCAGCCTGGCCCACTCCCAGCTACAGCCAGGGAAGGAGCTGGGCTGGTCAGATGCTGGAAAGAAGAGGGGCTTGACTAGCCACCCAAATGCCCTAAGACAAACATGGCTGGCAGGCCCCTTAGTGCACACTGTAGGGATAGGTAGCTGACCCCTTGGGCTTTGTAAGGGGGAAGTAGGAGCCTCCTCAGGTTTCAGATGCGGTATGGTTTGTTCCTGGAAGCAGGGAGGGGGATGGCAGTGGCTCCTCTGCTTTGTGGCCACTCAAGGGGACGTCTTCAGGGCTACAGGTGGATGGCTGTGACATCTGTGGGAGTGCTGGTCTGGCTGGGCCCCTGGCTGCTGGAGCCTCGAGGGGCCTTGGGCGCTGGGCTGGGGCTGGGCTGGGCGGCTTCCCTGAGGCTCTCCCTGAGCGCAGCTTCAATCTGCTCCTGGCAGGCCCGCAGGCAGTCCTGGAAACGAGGCAACAGTGAGAAGGGACTGCTCCCCTCATAATATCTGACAGCAGGCATGGGGGAAGGACAGCTCCCAACACACAGGGAGTCTGAAAAGGTTAGACTGCAGCCCAGCCCCAGGAATTGGTCTTTATTTCTCAGAAACTGGCAAGAGGATGTGGCAAGAGGGTGTGAGAGCAGCCTGCATCTTGACACCAAATCCCCCTCCCCCACTCCAGCAAACCAATTGGCAAGAAGAGGGCCTCTAGGGGCAGTGCCCTTCACCCCACCCAAGACACTTGCTCTTCTCCAGACCAAGGCAGGAGATAAAAAGCCACAGAAGCCCCACAGGTGTGAAACCAGGAGTTGGGACCGACCTAGTCGGGGTGGACACCTCCCTCTACTGGAGGCTTGGGGAACAGCGCTGCATTATGAATGGAGAAGCCCAGCACTTACCACTTCAGTGCCGGTGATTCCTGCCAGCAGCTCCGTGAGCTCATCCCCGGATGTGGGCCAGGCACCCAGGCCTTGCACTGCAGCCCCAATGCTGCCTGTTGCAATCATGGACGGCGGGTACATGGCAAAGGTGTAATCTTGGAAAGGAGTAGAGGGAGCCATGACACAAGGAAACTTAAAGGATAACAGCCAGCGTGGACTTACAAGCAGCATGAATGGAGCAGAGGCATACTGGAAAACCCCAGCAGTGGGTGGGCTAAGACACCGGGCAGGGAGAAGCAGGAGCCTCTTCCCTAGAGGATCAGGATAAACTGCAAATTCTCACAGACCCAGGGTAGTCCTGGCCAGGAACCAAGAAATAGATAAGGCCCTCCCTAGTGTGGAAACCACCAGGGCCAAGAGACCTGGGTTCTACTCCAAACTTATTTACTGGGAGACCTTAGGCAAGTCACTTCTTTCTATACCCTCAGTGCCCCCCATACATGCTGGGAGTCTCTGAGATCCTGTATAGCAGGGGTCCCCAACCCCCAGACTGGTGGTCTGAGGCCTATTAGAAACTGGGCCACATTGAAGAAGGTGAGCGGTGAGGGAGTGGAGCTTTGCTGCCAGATCAACTGTGGCATCAGGTTCTCATAGGAGCATGAACCCTATTGTGAACTGTGCATACGAGGGATCTAGGTTGCACGCTCTTCGTGTGACTCTAATATCTGATGATCCCCTCACCTTCTGTGGAAAAACTGACTTCCACAAAGCCAAAAAGGTTGGGGACTGCTGTTATACAGCTCTGATTAGAACCTGCTTTTCTGTATTGAGATGCAGGGCTCAGAAGGGATAGAATTTTCATCAATTCTGAGAGGAGAATCTCCTAGTTACTCTCACAAGTCTTCTGACTCTTTCATTTGGCAAAAATGTGCACAGGGCTCTTACCTGTAGCACACAGGGCCAAAAAGGTCTGGGCGTGCTTTTTGACCAAAGCCTGTCGGTCACGGGGCAGAGAGAGTCGGTGCAGAATCAGAGCCAGGAAATCATGTGCAATCACAGCAGCCAGGTCCCACTTGAGCTTCCCCAGGACCAGCACCTCCCATTCCTGGGGAGGGGGGAAAGGGTGGAGTCAGTGGTTGAGAAGGGCAGGCGGGGAGTGAAGCAGACATCTCCTGGACAAGGGAGCCCATCACACTTTTGAAGTTCAAGACCCTATTTCTGCAGGTTGTAAGGACTGGCACCATGGAGTCCAAGGCAGGGAGGAGTTGGGACACCTGCTTAGCACTTATTGATCATTTACTAGGTGCCAAGACTTTTTTTTGAGTCAGAGTCTCCCTCTGTTGCCCAGGTTGGAATGCAGTGGCACACTCACAGCCACCCCAGCGTCCACCTGCTGGGCTCCAGCGATTCTTCCACCCAGCCTTCCAAGTAGCTGGAACCACAGGCGTGCACCACCATGCCCAGCTAATTTTTTTATTTATTGTAGAGACGAGGTCTTGCCAAGTTGCCCAGAGGCTAGTCTCGAACCCCTGGACTCAGGCACTCCTCTCACCTCCACCTCCCAAGGTGCTGGGATTACAGGCATGAGCCACTGTGCCTGACTCTGTTTGGATATCTTTAAGGGGCCAATAATCCAGGCCTTCTCCTGACTTCACTTAGGGCTTTGGGCACTTCTCCAGTCAGGACTGAGAGATGGAAGCAGCAGATATCACAGCATGGGATGAAGCTGGGATGAACCCGAGGCTGGGATGAAGCAGCTTGGGACAAAGCAGAAAGACTCCAAACCCCAGAGATTTGTGAAAGGGGAGCTCGACCACTAGCTTCCCTGCCAACTCTGCCTCCAAGCCAAGTCCACAACTCTGAATCAACAAGAGTGAGCATGATTCCTCCTATGACAGCCACTGAGCCTCCCTCTGAGGTTGCCCAACCAACCCACATCCCCTTAATGGGACATGAGGGTGGGTCCTGAGTTACAGCACCTCTCCCTGTAGCTGGAACCCAGAGTAGCCCAGTGCCACTTAACTCTCAGGAGAGCAGGTGGAAGCCATGGCAGACAGGATGGACCCAGAAGATCCATGAGGGACCAAGCTCTATCCCCACCTACTCAAACCTACATTACCAATGCTAGGTCTTGGAGGCAGGCTGGGAGCTCCACCCCAATCCACTCATCTGGGGTTCCTTGACTGGCCCCATTTCTGAGTTGCACACATGAGGATTTCTTCATTGTTTTATCTCAGGAAGGAACTTGTGGGTTTGCCTCCTTATTGAGGCAGAAATGGCAACCCCACCCAACCTCTTCCAGGCTTCCACCACAGCTATCCCTTTCTTGGCCCCAGCCTAGGTGACAGTCTCTCAGATCAGCCCCAAGCCTTTCACAGGGCCCCACAAAAAACAACCTGGCCTGGAGCCAGAAAAGCTAGGAGCTATTCCCAGTGCTTGTCCCAGCAGCCAACTCCTAGCTCAGGGGCAAAAGAAAGGACCTAGCCTCCAAGGAAATATCTGGAAGGCAACTGGGAATGGAGTTCTCCCTATGGAGAGGAACAGGGTCCTATGAGAGCAAAGGTGGCCACTCTCCCTCATATCCAGGCAACCCCTGAGAATTCCAGCCCTACTTGGCAGAGAACATACCCTGAGAGCAATTAGCTTTCAGTGGCTGACAGTGCCCACCACATCCCGGGCTTTTATGGCAACTTGGTCGAGCTAGAAGGTCCATATTCTACACTTATCTGCTGGGTGCAGTGAGGCAGGACCCTTCCCTCCTTCCTTGGGCCTCAACCTTCTCTGCTGCACAAGGATTTGGACCGTCCAGAGTTCTCCAGGGTCTCTTCCAACTCTGACCTCCTAGGAAGTCTGGATGCTCCACCCCCAGCTCAGGCAGAAGGTGGCAGGGAAGAGTGCTTGTCACCTGTTCTGAAAAACTCCCCTCACACACAGGCACATACACCATCGCAACCTTTTCACAAAAAGGAAGTCCCCTCTCTACCATGTAGCCCCAACTCCTCCAAAAACATCTTGCTCTCCGGTCCTGGAAACCAGCTCCACCTTCAGACTTGCCAAAAACTAATTCTCATCACAAAAGGCTGTGGAGCCTCCTGGATTCCCAACTCCGGCCTCCTACTCCCATCTCTGAGCTACTTGGCAGGAAGAGGAATCCTGTTCCTCGACTCACAGACTCACAGCAGTCGGGGGCCCCAGTACCCTGGCCTCCCCGCCAGCCAATCACAGCAGCCTGCTTGCTGCCCTCCTCCCCGGGAGATGGGGCCCAGAGACTCCTCTCAGGGTCAGCAGAAGACTTGGCCAGCCCCAGAGCAAGGTGGAGGAAGGTGCCAGCTCACCCACTGTCTCCCTCCAGGCCCCCTAGGAGATGATCTTCATGCCCTGAATAACCACTTCCAGGTCCAAGCAGCTCACCCACCTCCTCCCCAAGTTCCTTCCGAGGCAGGACAGACAAGATGACTTTCCTGCCCTGCTCTGAGGAGCCCAGCCCAAGTTCCCAGCAAGAGGCCCAGGGAGCCACTTCCCAAACCACAGGAGTGACAGCAGCTCCCCACAGGGTTATGAAAGACCTTGGTCAGAGTGGGCGGGCCAGGGGAGGGGGCACCATTATCACATCGGAAGCAGCTGCAGCTCGGCTCCCTGTCTGTCCCTCAGCTCCGGTCTTTGGCTAACTCATGGGGAAAGGCAGAGATGTTTCCACCAGGCCCAAAGCAGCTGCTCCAGTTCCTCAGAATGAGCACAGGGAAAGGAGGATTAGGAAGAAGCTGTCTCTCCTGGGATATAAGGGGAAGGAAAGAGGTGGGATGGAACACTTCAGCCCTTCCTTAAAGCAATCAGGGCCTGGCTTTAATCTGCTCTGGGAGGCTTTTCTATCACAAAGTCCACATGGGGATAAAGGCTCAACCAAGGCACCCCCCTCCCCCACATGAAGCACATTCCACTCCCCCACTCCAGTCGGGGAGTGCAGGCATGCCCTTCTGCTGCCAATAAATAACTCAGGGTGGCTGTGTAAACCCAGAGGCAAAGTACTAGTGAGCGGAAGACATGCAGTTTAACTTGTTGCTATCTGGGGGAAAGACCAGGAAGGAGCGGCATCCCCTGGAGGTCAGGAGTGGGTTTAGTTCACCGCTGCAGCTCAAGCCTTAGTGGGGGCTACCCTAACCATCACACCACACTGCCCCATCTTTTCTCCCCTGTTCGTTTCCCCAAAAGCCTGGGCTTGCCTCTCTCTCCCAGAAAGCCTCTGAGGCCTTGGCTTTCCTTTTCCTGGGAAGTGGGGAGGCAGTATTATTGGGGACGGGAGGGGGTTACACACGCACCCGCAGCTGGCCAGGAGAGACAGCGTGGTCGGTGTAGATGCACAGTTTTTCGATGGTCAGGGGCGTGGTCTCGCGCAGCTTGGAGGCCAGCAGCATGCAGACCGCACCCAGGAGCTGCAACTGCGCCTTTCGGGTGGGGACGCAGGACAGGTAGCGATCCAAGTAGTTCATGGCCAGGGGAAAGACTTCCTCCTCACAGCGCTGCTCCTCACACACCTGAGGGAGGGCGCACAGTCACTGCTGGGGCAGGAGCAGGGGGAACACAGCAGCATGGGAGGGGGGACGCTGAAGGGAGTTGGGATCAGGATGAAAACGAGAACAGGGCAGGCTACTTACAGTGACAGGGGCCATTAATGGAGGGGGATGCGCCTTCCCCAAGGTGGCGCCCCCTCACTTCCTCTGCGTTGTCTCCTCTCCCCGTGTGTGGGGGGGTGGCCAAGCAGAGGCGCCCTTCCTTACCAAGGACTCCAAACAGACGCACTTCTCCCACGGAGAGGGGAAGGGGGACGGAAGAGTCACCCACGGTAGCCAGAGAGTGGGATCTTTCCCTCATCACCACCACACTGCACACACCCGAAGGGAAGGGAGGAGACTCCCGCACTTTTCATTTCCCTGCCGGCCGG